CGTCAATGGACAGTGCATCTGTCCAAAGATGGATGAAAGTCATGAAGCAGTCATCTTTGGAAGTTCATAGGGTATCATTACTATGTATCGATATCGTGTCATTGGTTTGAGCTTCATCTCGGTAGGATTGCCTCTCATTTAAACGTCAATCACTTCGACTTTATTGAATGAGGGATTTATTGAATGGTGACATGAGCATTTGATCGTGTGATTTCTGTAATTTTTTTTCTTCATCTCAAATCTTGAAACCCTGTTATTTCAATCGTTATATCCAATGTGTGTCATTATAATTGGATCAGTGCATACTTTCATTTACATTATTCGATATTTGCATGAACGTATGGGTTAGTTCGCATTTGACGTCCGTCTCGGGGCAATCAAACAGAAAGACTTGCTCTCCTCACGGGATTACTTCTGGAAGTTCGTAACTGAAGCAGCCAACAACCCCCCTCTTCGCCATATCAAGGAAATACCGCGGAATTGAGTCATGCTATACCGATTGAAAAATGTATCGCTTGCCGCAACGACCTACCCAACACTGCTTGAAATTTGTAATTGCCTTTAAACGAAAGTTTTCAAAATCGTGATAATTCATGGCGTCATTGCAACAATGAAACAGAAAATTCACCAAGTAAATATGGTATAGCTTTGTCTCACCTTATTTCAATTGAACCTGAAACCATACATTCCTAGTCATTGAGGGCTAACTACAGCCTTTTGAAGCTTTTCCCGTCGTGAAGGGAAAATTTTTCTGGCAGAATGTCCCGAGAACCCCTTGCCGTCGAGAGCCTTGGGATTTTTCACAAATAGGAGATATCATCGTCCATGCATTTTCGAAAGCGAATCCCGAAGGGTCTCGCAATCAGAAGCATATCACAGGATTTAGAACGCCTCATCGGTATTCCCTGGTGCCAGATTGCCAAATGCATCTCTGGAGTGGAGGAGGTTACGGAAGCATGGCCAGCAACTCCGCCCTCGTAAATGGGGTGGCAGCTTTCCTCCTTCATGAAACTGATGTTTATGACTGGGTAACGGTTATTAACAGTGAAGAGTGCCTTCCAGTTGGTGCCGATGAATCAATAATCGCAATCAGTTATTACTTTTTCTCGAGCGGGTTCTCATAAAACACCACCACGCAATTTTAAATTTCAGGTCTCATGCATACACTTATTTGAGTCTTGTTTCATTATCACTTTATGTAAGTATATAATCCATATGTCTCGGATCGAATGTAACAGTCTATAATGTTCCTGGTAAGGGATACAATGAAATTTTCTGAAACCAGTCCTCCTCGAGACATCGTATGCGCATTTCCCTTCACATTTTCTTCGTATTCTTCCCAAATATTCTGAGGAATATGGCCTTAAACGTCTGGATCATGCTCATTGGATCTTCTATGTTGTACTCTTCCCCAGAGCTTTCATTCCCTAGGCTTTCAAAATCGATTCCCTCTTCCTCCAAGATGGACGAGACGTCAGGTAGAACTGTAGTTCATGGACTTGGTAAGAGCGTGAGGACCTAGAAGAGGGTTTGCGACTTTTGAAAGAAGTTGACGAGATCAACGAGTAAGTAGTGACCCACGAAGAAGAAAAGCCGGAGCTACTCTTTCAGATACAATTCCTCCAAAGGTAGGGCATCTGGGTTCAGGGCGATTTCTTTGATCAGAGTAGCAGTTTTATGAGCTTTTTGGATCTGGCTTAATAGTTTCACTTGGTTTTCCCGAATTTCCACCGTTAGTTCCTTCACCTCATTCTCTAATTGTAACTGCTCTTTTTCCCTGATTAGATTCTGATGACTCTTCTTCGGGACAAGTTTGACTTCGTATCTCTTGGATTCTAGTCGATGGCTCTTCCAAGAGCATCCACATTTCCCACACGTGAACTTTTCCTTGGGCATCATGCATTTACTTTCCTTCATGTTCTTTGCCTTATGTATTGTTGCCGGATATTCGCATGTTTTCCTCTTGCAGCTGGAACAGTTAATGGCCTTGTCTGCCATAAGGGTTTTCAGGCATATTTCCTCATGTTTTACGGCATGGGAGACTTCGCTTCTTCTCTGCTTGAGTAGTTTGCACCGTCCCTGAAGGTCACTAATCTTGGATGAGACTGAAGAAAAAATAGATGTTCAAAAACTAATAGTAAAAAAGAATCGAGGAAGTTTAAACTAAAACCATCCTGAAAGTGAAGACTTACCTTCTGGAATTTCCTCCTGAAGCTTTTTCAAGTTCTCCATCAGCTCATCCCTTACATGAAGGACTCTTCTTGTCAGAGTCAAACCAACAGGGAATGTCCCTGCCAGGGATTTAAGAAACAAATCGTTGTTTTTAATTCCCATTTTCCAAAACAGTTATTGCATAGGGTTTTTCTCTTCGAACAGTGCGGAATTGTTAAAATGGTAGTCCTTGGAGTAAAAGATATTAGCACGTTCAACAGTACTGATGGCCGGCTGCGCATTTCTCCCGTCGCTGAAACTTAGCAGAAGTATGAACTTCTCCTTGGCGTCGATCCCAAATAATTGCGTGACAGCGTGGAAGATGTACTTCTCACGCCCCCACTCGGACCGTCACCTCCGACCGTTGTGCTTAGGGTGGCGTAAATACGGAACCTCTGGCACCGCGAGACTAAAGAGTTTTTTGAGAGCTTAGACATACCCTCTCCTACTATAGCACGAATGTTGCCAAAAATGCATTCCATCATATGTGGTTATATTCATCGAAGGATGAATGCGAGAAAATGCATTGTTCCAGTTGATAAATGAAGGACATGTTTTTCACTTTTTTCACACGTTAGATTCTCAAAAGACGTCTGGGGTTCTAAAGCTTACTAAGTGAAGTTGCGCGACAGGTTTATTTTTTATCCGTTGATTGAAATATTGGGACGGTGCTTCAGAGATAAAACGAAAGGGTGCTTCTTGAGGAGTTGAGTTTAGCTGAGAATATATGGCAGTGCATGAGAAAAGCGACCGTAAGGGCAAAAAATTATTTAACGTTTTAACAAAACTCCGGTAGGAAATACTTTTGTCTTTCAAATGAACAAGCTCATTCGCCTGAGAACTTCATTCTGAAGTTGTCGGTTGCATAGTAGGCTACATCGTGGTAGGTAGTCGGTTTCTGGAATACTTTTTCTTGATGTAGCAGCAGTGTTTGTGAGCATCACGACAGGCTGCGTTTAGGAAAGCTCAGGGTGCATTCTAATTAATTTCTATTACTAAAACAATTTCATCATACACTCATGAATGTGATTGCATTTTACGTAAAGTAGAAACGAACGCACGATCTACTCACCAGGAGCACCAGAGTTCAACTAAATTGTGTGCATGAGCACAGAGACGTTCAGAGCGAGAACGGATTAACTTAAGAAGACGAGAGATGCAATGGTTTAAAACAAAGGGAGCGAATAATATGAATCCTTGTTACCCACTCAGGATTGGAGAAGAGGAGGTGCTTAAACATAATAGAGTTTGGGATTGGTTGGCGAGTTCCTCGGCTTCTTCATGCACGTAATTTGAAGCCCGTTTGTCTCGAAAACCTTTGTTGCCCCTAAAGTCCCCTAGAGTGCCCTAAAGAAACCCTAAGGTCCCTCTTCTCAGGCACTGACACATTTATGAAAATCTGCCATTTCTGTGTCAATGTCATCGTTTAATCCGAGATGTGGTTTTTATGTATTCCTGAAGCGTTGCAACCGTGGTTAAGTACCAGTATACGCTATAGCTTCTGCTATGGTATATGAAGGAATTAACCGAGAGGAGTACAATTTGAATCATCATAATAAAGTGCCTGATGTGAAGTCCAATGCAGAGTCCAGGCATGTTATCCACGATTTGAACCTTTCTATCATGAGTCTCTCCTTCCTTCTACAGGGTGTTAAGAAAGTTGTGTCCCATTGCAATATATCTATACCTATAATCTCAGCAAAAAAAACTAATATCAGGAAAATTTTTTTATGTACAATAACAATGACACTTAACTGATTTAGAATCACTTAATAGTTTTTAATATGACCACCCTTGGCACAGATGGCAAGGTTCAGATTACCCATGGAAGCATCGACTGATTTTCGCAAGTCTTCCTGTGGAATTTGCTCCCATTCTCGGTTCGGGGATAGCTTGAGAGAATCCAAAGAACGGTGTTTTGTAGCACACACTTAACTCTCCAAGATGGACCAAATTGAAAAATTTAAGGGGTTGAAATCAGGGGAGTAAGGGGGCCATTGTGAAGTCGGAATGAAGTCGGGGATATTTTTCCACAGCCACTCCTGAGTCATCTACGCCTTGTAAGCTGGTGCTGAGTCCTGCTGGAAGACCCAGTTGCCACCACTGAAATGATTCGTGGCCCACAGAACCAGATAGTCTTCCAGGATGCTTTACCGGTATATTTCAAAGTTGACATTCGGCACGAAAACGAGCGGAGTGTGTCCAGAAGTGGTAATCCCAACCCAGACCATTACAGAAACCACCCTTGACGCTGAGTGGCTTGAAAATTTTCAGATTTCGATTTTTCAATTTGGTCCATCTTAGAGACCAAAGTGTGTGCTACAAAACATTGTTCTTTGGATTCTCTCAAGCTATCCCTGAACCGAGAATGGGAGCGAAAATTCCAGAGGAAAACTTGCAAAATTCAGTCGATGCTTTCATGGGTCGTCTGGACCCTGTCATCTGTGCCAAGGGTGGCTATATTGAAAACTATTAAGTGATTCTAAATCAGTTGAGTGTCCTTGTTATTGTATATAAAAATTTCTCCTGATTTTTTTTTTTTGCTGAGGTAATCTTCACATTGCAATGGGACACAACTTTCTTAACACCCTGTAGTATTCCTTCAATGCCCTGATCTTATATCCAGACCGATTTGGTATTTAAGTAATTAATTCTTGGGAATATTTTCTCCTTTCATTGCACTCGGACCTACCCATGCGTTAAGATCGGCCATGACAGAATGCCCCATCTCGAGGAATATCTCTATCACGCTAAACCGTCGGCGTTCTAATAACTTTAAGCGGAAGTGATCACAGAAAGTCGTCTCTGACCTTGATCACATTTTCTTCGTCCTCGCTCATACCCTTGGAGTCCCCAAATCCAGGGGTGTCCACAACGATGAGATGGTACGAGATCGTCATGCCCTCCTGGAAGTTGAAGGAATAAGCGGTCACCTCTTTCGTCTGGCTCTGGGATCTGTCTTCACGATTCACGTCTCCTTTTTCCGTGACCACCCGGAACCGAAAGTCATCTTCCCATCGAACTCCGTAGATGTAGTTCGGCAGCCCATTGATCATAGTCGTCTTACCTTAATGGAACCACCTAGCTCAATCACATGCATTGAAAGAAATGAGTATGTAACTGAGATATATGAGAAGCAACACGTCTATTTGACCTTGCTTACGTTGCAAATGGAAGTGTCCTCATTTTCGATATTGTCATTGCCAGTTTGAGTGGATAAGTAAATGATCCCTCTATAAAGTTACCTTGCTCGGAAGGAATCGATTAATGCTCATTTCCCAAACTCAAAGAGTGAGGATTATGAAACACTTGTGCAACTTCCCCAGACTACTGCACTTAGCATGAATCGAAATCATTATTAGGTCGGATTGCATTTATATATTAAAATAAAAGGGGAAGTGGGATTATTCCAGCTTAAGTGAAAAAGTTGTAAGGCCATTTTCCCACGTTATTCCCTAAAAGTATATTAAATTTTCGTAGTAAATTGGTAATCGTAAGAAGCGCCCCCCCGCAAAGTATTCCCTCCTACTTCCATGGGGCCACAAAGCTGGAGGTTGAGAGATGAAATGCCCTTTGACTTAGACGTTGAGGTAATATTGATCTAATTTGTGCCTACATCAAGGAAACACGTACCCTTATTCTCATATTCACATATTTGGCCGCAAAAGTAACTTATGAGAAAACGTTGTACGATGGCTGTACAGGACACTTGGAAAGCACGTGAAAGGATCTAAATAAATGCACGTATGCATCCAGAGTGTAAATAAATGGCTTGGACACTTAGAAAAACCTTGTGAATATATATTGGCAATTATTACCTGCTCCTGTCTGCCCAACTACTAGAAGTACTTTTTGGTCGATTTCGGCCCCACAACGAGCAGGTCCAATGTTATATTTGGTTACTCTCGACTCCCCTTCTTGAAATTCGACTGATTTCTCCAGCTCGTAGATGTCCGGCGTTCCGTTTCCGTCCACTTTCACTAGCCTCGCTTTCTTCTTCATTTTATCAGCCAGAGGTCTAATGTTCTTTTTTCCGTTGTTGGAGCGTTCGAGGTCTTTCTTCCCGTTGCCACGAGAAGACGAGGTCGCGGGGGGATCCAAAGGCGCGGCCGCTGAACTTTTTGCTCCTTCCTCGTCTTGCGAGTCATCCTCTTCGACTGAAGTCATCCCCTCCTTGACTTCAGAAAATCAGTGATTCCTGAAATTGCTACATTCAAGGTTGTCAGAGTTTTGATGGTCCGTAATAATATCCAGAGCAGAATAGCCCAATTTTAACTTTCATATCAGTCCTTTCATCACAAGTCAAGATGAAAAAATATTTCCCAATGGGTGATTTTGGGTAGAATACATTTTCAGGGATAATCGGGCGACCTCTTGAAGATCTTAGAGGCAATCTGTAAGGAATATCCGATATCGAGAAGCTTTTTTGTGCTTCCTAAGATGTGCTCTTCTCAGTAGTTTTCATGGCATCATTTAGGACATTTCCAGATGGCATATTTCCCGTCGTACACTTAACATAGAAGCAGTGACGTAAGTCTTATCCACGCATTCCACAAAAGCAGATGATAAAAATTTATGGAGCCAGGTATTTCCTGAAAGCATTACGGAGATCTTTATATCACCATGTGGCGTCCTGTCTTCATGTCGCGATAACGTTGGGTGTAATCTGTCTCATAGCATTCTTGTTCTGATTTTTCCCCATTTCATGACAAATGTCATGCAAGAGTTTGTTTAGGGACTGAATGTGAAAGCTGGCCCTGCTAATAAAGGGAATGCAAACCTGCCAGATTTGGTCAGTCCTGAAGGTTTGGGAAGAAATGTTCGGGAATCAATATGGATGTCTTGATGACACATAACCTTTGACGGTGGTCATAGCGGAAAGCATAGGCAGCCATAAATAGCAAGGATTCGCACGACTGTATTATCTTGGCATTTCCTAAGGACGCTCTGATAATTCTGATCTTACATTTTTTTCCTCCGCGACCAAAACTAACGCTCGCGGTTTTTTTCATGCTCAGATCTGAACATGTCAAGGGAATGCCTGTGGATGCAGGATTCCTCTTCGCGCAGTACTTTTCTGCAGTCGCTAAAATAAATGAGGATGTTAACACGGTTTCATGAAAGCAAGGAGAGGTCGTTGAATTCTTACCGAAAGAAGCGGAATTGCGGCAAACGTGGCCTTGAATGATTTCCTGAGTTATATTAAATATTTTCGAGGAAGAGTTGAATTAATTGAATTAATGGGAAGTAAATCATAGCAATTAATTCAGTTTAAATTATCACTAGAATTTTACCTAATGAATTTTTACCTTCGTGCCCTATGGTCCTGCTTTCTTGCTTGCAGGGGCTCGGCAGAAAACTGCATTCGATGCAGCACAAGAACCTCTTCCGCGCAATGAAGTCTCAATCCCTGAAATGTATGGACCTGTTCGTAATTTCGTCAATAAGATGGACCATCACTCACCACGGCAACGAGGCAGTCACTTGTCAACGGTTCATTGAAGTCCTAAGTATAAGATTTAGACTAAGGACGCTCTTAATCTAATCTACTCCCCAAACAAAAAGAGAATCTCGAGGAACAGATAATACGGATGCAGCTCCTGTCATGGATCCAGCGTTGTAAGAGCCTGCATACCAACGAATCCCCACTTCGTCAGCCTTATCTACTGCCTCAATCATCCCCAGCCATGGACGAGATGCTTTCTCATGAGTCTAGACAGCAGTCAGTATTCCAGGAAGAAGATATTTAGTTCCCGCAAATGTGCCCTGTCTACGACTCCCAACTGCTCCAATGATTGGCTGGGAAAGACGATGCAGTTGAAATAAATATTCAAGATATGACCACAATCCCCATCATTACATTTACTAAATTTAATGGTAAGGCATTGACTTACAAGTTGAATAAATTCAAACCTGAACATTAGCCTGGTAGATCCTACATAAATTTTGTCGGCAACTTTGCCAGAATAGTTTCAAAGTTGAAGCTTTAATTTTTTTGGCAAATACGCTAAGAAAATGTTCATTCCTTGTTTGTGTTCTCAAAATTAAGAGTTAGAGCTACACTACCCCCCTTCCATACTCAGGGGGTGATCACACCTCGATGCGAACTTTCCCGCAGGCGCATGTAAAATGTAAAAAGTAGCGCTTACCCTTGCATCAGAAAGACGCGGTCGGCAACGTAGTAACCATCCTGTTTCTAAAGCGTATTTTTCACTCATAGGCTTACATAGAAAATAGTGGAGATGTTTATTGTGAACCCGACCCCATTTATAGATCGGAACCCCGTTCACACATTGCTCAGCACTCTCACTTGGAAAGAGACTCCCGAGGGTGAAAGCGGTCGGATCCAATCTGGATGGGATAAAACAAGAGCGTTTACCCTCTAATCCAGGGGTCGGGAACCTTTTTGGCCATGTGAGCCATATTTAGATTGAGCTAAGAGCTTGTGAGCGAATGTTTTTCAGGAAAATATAATTTTTTCCAGAAGTTCACAACAGACATTTGCATTCTTAGATACATCAGAAAAATGAGAAAGAACCATGATTTACAGTCGTGACTTAATGAGCTAAACTTTTCGGCTCATGAGCCATAGGTTCCCGACCTCTGCTCTAATCGGAATGACGCCTTCGGCCGCGTCGTAACCATCCCGTTTCTTTAACCTTGTTTTTCACTCATAGGCCTACATGCGCGGCCGACCTTAGGTATGCGCCACATGTGCCCCGGCACAGGTCGCAAATTCACAAGAGGCCCCAAAATGTGCCAGGATGGATGAACCAACAATGGCTGCCACCTCCAGTTTTTCTTCACAAAGTGGAAATGCCTTCCGTTTCGGCGTCTTCTTGGACGCTTGGGGTTGACCCTTCTCCCTTCCGAAGGGAGAAGGGGGGGGGGGGTGTTGGGAGTCTATTACATTCTTAAAAAAAGGGGAGCGATTTTTCTCAAAAAAAAGAGTAAAATAGCTAACTCCAGTTCCACCCCCCTTTCACTCTGGGAAAGGAGCGAATTTACTCCATCACCAAGGAGTAAAATTGCTTTCCTCCTCCGTGAGTAAAAACGCTCCCTTCCAGAAAGTGATAGGGATGTCATGCAAATAAGAAAATTATAAAATATTGTGTGTCGCTTTCGCTCTCGCATAGGCGTTGACCTACCTCTGAATGTGCTGATTACAGTACACGTCAGGGGTTGGACCACTTCTTTTAGGTTCTGTAGAATAACCGGGATATCAGTCCTCATTTCATTGAGGTCTGATTGCGTGAAGTTCACGGACACTTTTTGTGTATTCCAGAACTCATATGCGAATAAAATAATACGCGTTTCAAAAGAGTTCTCAATAGGAATATGAGCTTGTTTATAGTCTGGGCTCTATGAATATGTCTTGAATATGTGGATAACAAATGATGAAGTGTCCGTGTTTAAATTTGGTGAGTAATAAGAGAGTAAATTCGAATAGCTCCCGGTGTGCTCACTTTTTACTCCCCAAACGCTCGGAATTTTCTAAAAGAGTGTAGCACAGGACCCCGAAGCAGATAGGGCCGGCCCTGCCTGCAGGAAAAGTGGTGAGAAGTCTTCCATGGGTCTACTAGTTCATCAAAATTCCATCCATCCTTTTGAAATGCATTGCCTCGCTTTCTTTATTTCCAAAATGGGGAACAAAGCCACCTTAGTTTTCAACTTCAGTAACTTAGTTTTAGCATTTATTTCCAACTTTTCACTAACTGAAATGCATATAGGTACGGAAAATATATATATGCAAAGAGAATAAGGGCTTTCCCTCCAACCACAGTAGATTCTTACTTTCCCAAGTTTATATGGCTAACAAATAACAGGGCTGGATGCTCATTTATACCTGCAAAGGCATAAATTACTATTAGGAGCAGAGTTCTCAAAGAAAATAAGAAATTCCTACTTTCTCACCTCCAGACGTAAGTATGCAAAATCTGGGCCAAGTGAATCCTTGTGATACTAGTTGTCCGCAGCTTTTGGGCAGCAGTCCACTCCTGCATGCATACATGCGAGCATGCATTGAACATGAAAGGCATACACAAGGTGCCGGTTCAATTAACCATATGAAAAATCATGGCCTTCCCTTGACCTGTTTTGTTAAGAAAGTGCTGCTTTTAGGCAGTGGCAGATAGATACATTGTAAATGGGAGGGGGAGAGGACGTATTAGTCACTAATCCCCAACCCCTACCACCACAGCTTCTTACCTTTATGGTTTTTCATCCTTGAAAACATTTGCAGACAATTTCATAGGTCCTATTTAACCCTTGACTACACACCGTTTGAGGGTGCCGTATCTCTGATGAACTAGAAAAAAAAAACAAAAAACAAAATGCATTTTTACATTTTCATATACTTTTATGAGTTATATAGGTTTCATTGGCTGTTGTGGTACTATTAGAAGCAGCCGCTTGTTTGGAATCCTTGTTCAAAGCATGTGCAAATATGCAGACGCGAAACATGAAATTCGGAAGATATGGAATTTTCATGGCTCATAGAGGAGCGTCAAGGGATATTTGTAATGAAATTTAATGAAATTGAAAGAAAGCAAGTATTTAACCCAAAGAAACCTGTGGAATATTAACATATTTGAAGATGCTTTGCTTACGGAAGGAAGCGTTCCCTCTCTATCCGTCACTGCTTACTGACTAAAAAGTGTTTTTTCCACGTCTTAGTTGGAGTTTGAAGACTCCGGGCATTCTGCTGCAATCCCAGTGAAACGTATCTACGGGAAAAGTAAGATGACGAAATCTGTAATAATATACATTTTTATGAAAGGAACAGGATTCTATGAGCACAAAACCAATAATCCTTTTTTCGGAAATCGTTTGTAGATGGATCACTTTACCTTACAGCCCTTCAATTAATAGGTATCCATGATGACGCCTATTTTGATAGATATACTGTATTCCTACTTAACACGATCGGCATCAACTGCCTATCATGATAGGTTTTCGTGAATTTTCCTGATTACGACCTCCTATCCATCGTCTTGAGCCCAGGAACAACGGCATGTGCCACATCTGCTCACTCACAAGACTTAACGAGAGTGTTGTGTGATGATTTAATGGTGTTAGTCTCACTTTGTTAACCAGACTAGTGATGGAATTCCAATTGCCGTGGCTTGTTACAAAAAAGTCTACGGGATTTTATCTATCCCAGAGTAACTTTGCTCGACACAAGTTGCAATGGTTCACGTAATTAATTGTATTAGCAAAATTCACTGTAATACACCATAGTAGCTCGTTATAAGCAGAATAAACAAGCCCTGGATCATAATAGAGTAAAGCAATTTTGACACCTACCATGATACCCTATAAAACCTATATACCTATAGGTATAAAATGTCTCTGTATATGGTCAATCTATCTAATCTATCAATCTCATCATTTGATACTCCCCAAAATAACTATTTTATCAATTTTACAGTATACGTTCTTTCATACCAACCAGCGTACAGCCTAACGCGATTACAGCATGGCATGTCGTCCTCCCGTAAATTTTGGCTTCTCATCTCGGAGGGAACAGCTTAGCACCACCCGATGAGTGGGGTTAATGTAGCCCCCGATTTTCCCATTAATTTAGCCTACCCCAGTAAATCGGGCGGTAAGTAGTTTGGCGCCTAGCAGATCAGGGCTCAAATTGGGGCACGATAAGACTCGGCTTCAACTGTGAGGTGAATAGTTAGCTGGGTATCCCAATAGCAAACTTTCGTAATATAATTTTACTACGTGGAGCGCATCCCCCAACCCTACCGAGTGTTTCCCAATGTAATTCGCAGCACACTTTTTTATTCTCAGCGCACAGACGCGAGACCGCAACCACGTGTGAAGGACCTCCTAAATGTTGGGGAGTCCCAGTCTCAGAAACATCAACGGCTATCAGCATCGTACATAAGCTCAGACGAACGGAGGAAGACAAGGAAGATGCAGCAAAGAGCAGAGCCACGATTTGAAAATCACCTTCATTTACTGCAAGCGCCCGTCTCCCACATATACTTTTAACTCGTTTGCCATCTACAAATGCGACTGCGATGCGGGAAAACAATGCAATCTGTGAAGAACTCTCGCGCTCCTCAGCTTCCATGCGTCGTTCGTGAGCGCATGTGAATGACTGAAGGTGATGAGGGCAAGGACGAGAGAGCACGTCATTCTGCCATTCCGAAATTCTGCATTTTGAGGGATGGACAAGCACGAGGAAGCTGCCGTGATGGACTTCTTTGCGGAGCCGCGAGAACGCAAGAGGTGACGAAACTGACGAATCGCCCCGTATTTCATAATGGACGCTTGAAATCCCTGGATTCACGGCAGCGGACGGGAGGCAATGCAGTGAGCGTTGCCAGCGTTCCCTTTCGAGCACCACGGCAACTTTCGTCTCCTCATGCATCCACAAGACGGCAAGACGAGAGCGAATCTCCGATTCTTTGTGAAGGTGGCTACCTCTCCCTTTCTTGTGGCCGATTTGAAAATGTAATATCGCAAAGGCACATCCTCAGATTATAAGAACTAGTGGCAGGTAAAGCTGCTGCTAATCGGAGGAAATGAAATGCTCTGTTGTGGAAGGAATCTCCACGATATGCAGAGACTACCACCCCAGTTGCACCCAAACGTATTCAATGAACGTTTCATTCAAGTTATTCCTAGCGTTCCATTAACGTCCTTGGGAACGTTCTATTGACTGCTTAAATGTTCAAATATAAAGCAATGAAAAACAGTTAATATTATTCGTACCCTGAACTACATGAATGTGATGTTTTCAGGGAAAGTGTTCATTAAAATTTTCTTCGGATTCATCCGATATGCAATTAACGTTTTGGCTACGTTCTTTTCACCTCATGAAATGCATTCAGTCAAAATAGGGGCCTGCGCCCATGGCCGGGGTTAGCAGCCATAATGTAACCGATAAGTAAGATGAAAGGTACTATCTTACATTGTCTGGGAATTTCTGGAGGAGTAGCGTGAGACAATGCAGCCATACAATAGAAATTCTCATCCTATCAACAATTACCTGATATTCAGGAACCAGATATCTTCCCAATCAAAAACTTTTTTCATGAAAGAGATGATAAATACAAACATCCCTTCCTATGAAGTCATCTTGAAAATTGAACCGTTCTCCCCCTATCAATCGAGCCAGAGTTCTCTGGAGAATCCTTGGACTGGGTTACCTCTAAACCCCGATTGGTTCAAGAATTCGAGTATCTTCCGCTCTGATTTATGTGAAGAGAGATTGGCTACCTTGTGAAAGGTATAAGAGGAATGAAATCAGATATATCAGGAAATTGCACATTTTAGGGACCACCTTGGCGCCATCTAGCGTCGATGGTGCGAACCTTAGCCTCAAGCCATTGTCAGATGGATACCAGTGATGTGCGTTAGGAAACCATCTTAAACGTTAGAGAAATGTCCTTCGAATGCAGCATGTTTCGTGATCAAAAGGCACTTCATCTAAGCGCCCAAAAGCTCTTATTGTTGTACATTGGACGCCAAAGACCTCTTTCACAACACGTTGATCGTTCTCGAAAGCGTTTATGTGATACTTAGCCGATGTCATTCGTACGAAGCCTACAGGTTTCATTGGACACGTATCTTCGGCATCCGATCATGTGAATGGAGCTAGGGAAGTGGATGCGAATGATGGCGAAGGAAAAAAAGTTAGATGCAACATACAGCACAGCGACGATCTGCAAACACCGTTTTCTTATATTTTCTAATATCCCTGTGCTCCCAAACAATACACCTGTATTTTTTGCCCTCTACCGATGCGATTGCGATACGGGAAAAGAATCCGACCCTTTGAAAGACTCCCACTCTCGCCGACCTCCTTGCGTTGCTCGTGCAATTCCGCAAATCTGTATTTAGAGCCATGGAAACAAACGAGGAAATTAGGGTGATGGGTTTCTTCGCGAAAGCCCGTACGAGCGTATGTGGCGACGAGTTGAGGAATCGCCTCGTATTTCATTATGGACCTTTGAAATCTCTGTATTCACGGCAGCAGGCGGGAGGCTCTGCAGTGAGCGCTGCCATCGTTCCATTTCGAGAACCACGGCAACTTTAGTTTCCAAGTTCATTCGAAAGATGGCGAGACGAGAGCTAATCTCAGATTTTCAATGAATATTGCCTCCCATCCCTTTAGTATGACCGACGTGCGTATTTCATTTCGAAGAGGCACATTCTCGGATGGTAAGGAGTTCTGTCGAAACTTCAAGTTCAAATCTCTAAGCGTTCGGCCTGTAGAGCTGTCACACACACACACACACACACGCACACGCAAGCACACGCACACACACACGCACAGACACACGCACACACACACGCGCACTAACTCTCAATCACACGAACTCACAAACACAATTGTCGCTCGGCCTAGCTAGCAGCCAGAATCGCGTACGCAATATGTTTCGGACCTTCGGACCTGGATTGCTTCGAAACTAAGGTCCTTCGGTTTGAATAATCAGAGCCGAAATATTACCAACTCTTATCATACTGATTAAACGAGATGAATGCTGCTAGTTTGTCACTTGTGGTTAACGGTGTACACTCGCATGAATCGGCAAATGTAAATGATACACTTCGGTCAATTTTTGCAACTCGACTTTTTTTTTCAAGATGAAAAGGCGTCAGCACGGAATTGTGATTCATATCAGTCCCTTCCAAACCGTGTCAGGTTTCTTGAAAGACGTCTGCAAAACTGGAATGCGTCTATTTCCGAGTCAAGATGAGTGGCCTTGCAGCGTCGAGACCCATGTCAATCATCGCCTTCGACTTCATCGTGTCGAAGAAGGTCCTCCTCATAAACCCTCGGGGCAATGCATTGGCTGTTGAGAGATTGAAAAGCAAGCGCGTGAGAGTGCGTGGCCACTTCGCAGTATTCGCTGGGTTCGTTAAGTTAGAGACATCTTGCGGCAGGAGGCATAAAAATGAGCTTGGGGGAGTCAAGAACACAAACTTCAATGCGTTTCGAATGGAAACAAGCAGGTACAGGCTATTCTTACTACGAAAATGCTTCTTTTTCTTTGCCAGAGGGATTTCCTTAGGTATTATCCTTAAGAATGATTTTTCAGCAAGTAATGAGACTGATGTTTCTATTTGAAGCATCCAGGCGGCCTGAAAGGCCTGTCACATATATATTTTTCAGTATTGGCTTTCGCTTTCCATGGGCCTGTGAAAGTCAAACTTGGTATTTACTGTCACAGGATAAATAACCAACATTAACCCTTGACATGCTAAGTTTCAACATGAAGTACTAATCAAGAAGGGTTTATGTTTATGTATCAAGAAGGGTTTATGTTTATTATGTTTATATTTCAAATTGTATATAATAGAGTAATGAAGGCATTTTTGAATTTGACAAAGAATACTCATTTGAATAAAACACATCAGATCAAGTTCCGTTTTTGGATCAAAGCTGAAAAAAAAATCCATAATAAATCCGGCCAAAGTTCATATTCCCTAATTTTACGTTATGGCGCCATCCTCCATTTTACTGCACATTGAATACTTCTAGCTTTTTAGTGGACCTGCTTTCTTGAAAGGAACGAAAGGACTCTTAGTTCCATCCTGTCTATTTGGGTGAGGGTTCGTCTCACACTTTACCATATAATAACTCAGATGACTGTGAAAACTGATAGGGAGATTCATATGAGCAAATTACAACCAAAGTTCTTGTATGGGAAAGGAAGAAACATTCCTTGCTACAAATTTAGGCTAATTATGGTGAGAAAGCCAAGAACTTCAGCCACTTGGATCTGATCCTATAGGCTCATTCCCAGAACTCAGCCTCGGTCGGGATGTCATATTAAGCAGAGCTGCTAGTTTCCTGTCAGTCCTCATAGCTGACTTATCCAATATCATAAATTATAAAACATAAACAGGTATTATATCATCGCGCAGGATGGTCCTACAGTTCCTGGTTGAATTCACGAGCACTTCATGAGTGGCATAGCCCACCAGGGCTATGCCACTCATGAAGTGCTCGCGAGATCTAATTCTTTAAATGCATTCCCTACACAAATCACATCAACATTGCAGACAATGTCTCTTCAGGTATGTGCTATAGTCTGCCGTTTCGCTATTGACCAGTGTAAAGACTACATAATCCAACGGGAAAATTCCTTTCAGCATTTAAGAAAATGCCTGCTTCCTTGTGTTATTGCTGTGTTGTTACGGTGCTTCTCAACCTTTGACACATATCGGTGGCTTATTATGAGGATGTTAATCTATTATCTAATATCAACGTACAAGACAAGACAAGAACAGAAAACACTGTGTTCGGTCCACCTCTTAAATCTGAGTACCGTGTAACAGGGGCCGTTTCTGCGTTTCGGTGTTTAAGTTCTTGTCATGAAAAGACTCAATACTGGATAGCCGATATACAGGGTGACGCTGAAACATTGAAGCAATGCAAATGCTTTGCCATTTTCTGAATTTGTGCTCCGAAAATTTTGAGGTTTGCAACAATACTATTCAAGGCCTCGTATTTCAAATGCAACCTATTACAGATTAGGTTTTTTGAAGACAGGGTCCTTCAAATGATCTCCGTGATATGTAGTGCAAGAGAGTAAACGTTTTTAAAAGTTTCTGACAGTCGCTTCGTACAATACTGGCATTATTCTGGATAATTCTGCACTAATGTTTCCGCCAAGTTCCTGTAATGTGTGGTAATTTCCTTACACATTTTCTTTCAAGAAGAAGGAAAAGAAAACTGCACCATGTCTTTCTTTAAAATGTAATCTACTGCAGTTCCTGGTGCTGTTGGATCAGGATATCTTGCTGTCCATGAAATGCCATCAAACAAAAGATGATGTGGCCACTGAACTTTGTAAAACATTTACTTTCCATTGCTGTATATCATGGAGACCATTTGAAGGACACTATCTTCAAAACCTATGCTGAACATGTTGCATTTGAACAGTAAGGCTTAGAATATAATTTATTCAAACCACACTATTTTTATAACATGCATTAAA